GGTGAAATCAGAAGCTTTTGATGATGCAATTCAACAAGTGAGGTTGCAAGAATTTGTCGGTGAAGGTGGCCTGTGAGGTTGGGCGAAGAAGAAGAATCATACTCTTTCCGCGACCTTCTCGGAAAAGAGTAGACCAAGCTTGTCTTGAAATAGAAGGGAAGCCTTGATCGAGTAACCTAAAAGTACAAGGCTTCGGAAGGAGTTCGATCGGTTTTTCGTCCTTCAAACTAGGCAAATCAGCGAGAGACGCAAAGATAATTGTCGCATCTCCAGGCGAAGGTGCGGATGGGGTCACAACAAGCATTTGTCTCGGCCGACATTAGGAAGCCCGATGCAAACAACGCAAAGGACACAGAGGACGCCTCTGGTAACGATTTTGACTGCCTCAAAGCACAATAAATGATATGAGTTGGGGTAGCTGTCACTATCACCAGATTTGTAAGCTTCTTGTGTTGGAGAGCAGCTGCGCATTCACAGAAGGCCAAGATACAGCGTGATTTATCCCGGATTCCAAATCCAATGGTGGTTTTGCATACCAAGACGTTGGAGACAGCGTGAGATTTTCTCATCGCACGTCATTTTTGGTGCGAGGCTTTGGTTAGGAGGATTTATCGTCAAGGTAGAATTCGAATTGAAGCCCATGGTACACAGCAACGTGGAAAGATGGTCCGCCGAAGGACAATCTGACACTAGTTGAATGACCCGGAATGGAGCGTCGTCTCACCCAATATCTTGTATTGATGCTCTTATATACTTCTTATTGTAAGCATCGGTTTGTACTCGCGTTCTGGAGGTTGTTAGCGGTGGGTATCAGAAGTTGGAGGATCAAGGGTAACATGCATGACGCCGTCGTTGGGAAATCTGATAGTGCGTGCCCGACGCCCAGATGAAGCTGAAGGATGGTGGGTAGTAGACAATGAATGATGCTTTTTGGGGGTCAATTACATCCCGTATGCCGAATACCAAACTGATAAATTGATGTCAATCGGAGGGATTCCCCACGTTTTGCAGCGATATTATCTAGTGATAAGCAGCGCCTCAAAAGACGAAAATATCAGGAAAGGCTCAAAGATATCATTTGCATCGACAACATAGAGAGTACATCAGCCAAGATTGACATAAGAGCTGATAGCTGTCTGCAGAACAAGCAACATAATGGAAGAAAAGGAGCGAGGGTTCAAGGTAGGAGGAGAAGAAAGATCTAAGTATTTGAATTGATTGCTTTGGGAGCCAGGCCCTGGAGGGAAGGATGAAGAATAGGCATTGTGAATAAAAAAGTAAAGCCGCTTTGAGAATGGTCCGCTCAAGCGTTATCAAGTACTTTCACTATATGTCATGTATTAGTGAGGATACAATATATGTGTTCAATGTCAAGATACGCGATGCTTACAGATACGATCACCAACGCCGCGTCGTCACTGGTCGTCTCGTCTTGTCCTCTCAAGCGGTGGAAGTGACAGTCGCACTGGGGGGCGTTCCAGTGAAAGTTGGGAGAGAGAAGGTGACAGAGGGGATGGAAATGGAAGGGAGTGAGATGCTGGGGGCTGAGAACGTAGGGATCGAGAACGACGAGGGTGTACCGCTGGGAGCAGAGAATGAGGGTGTACCGCTAGGGGCAGAGAAGGGAGGGACTGAGAAGGTAGGGATCGAGACCGACGACGGCGTGCCGCTAGCCTGAGGAGCAGGGGCAGCGAAGACGTAGGCAACGAGCGTGGCGAAGGAGATGGCGACGGTGCGAAGAGCTAGCATGACGATTGGAGTTGCTTGGAGAGGAAGGCTTGAGTAGTTGGAGAGTAGAGCCGTCGAAGTTGCTATGTTGCTGATAAGCTGAAATGTGCACATTCCTCTGCCCGCCTTTATACTTGTCGTCGACGTCTCTCTTTCCTCGGGCCGATGGGGAATCGTTGGGCGAACTTCTTTTTTAAATTTTAAATTTAGATGTCTGGGATGTGGGATGAGCCCCACCACCAGAGGTCACCACTCGTCTCAATGTTGAACAACATCGGAGGCGGTCTGGGAGTCAGATAGTTTTGAATAAGCAGCTCGCCCATTGACGGATGAACTGTCAACTGCGCACTGCGCTTGCTAAGGATTGAGTCAGTGCGGGGGTGAAATCAGAAGAGCTTGATGGTGCCATTATTCAACAAGTGAGGTTGCAAGAATTCGTCAGTGAAGTGGCCTGTGAGGTTGGGCGGGGTGGGGAAGAATCACGCGCTTTCCGCGACCTTCTCGGAAAAGAGCAGACCGAGCTCATCTTAAAATAGAAGGGGAAGTCTTGATTGAGTAACCTAAAAGTACAAGACTTCGAGAGGGAGTTCGATCGTTTTTTTTTGTCCTTCGAACTATATTCGCCGAGGCAAATCAGCGAGAGACGCCAAGATGATATCGTATCTCCGGGCGAAGACGCGACCGGGATGACAAGGAGTGTATATCTCAACTGACACGTAGGAAGCCCGACGCAAAGGAGGCCTTCGGCAACGATTTTGACTGCCTCGAGCACAATATGTATGAGTCCACATAGCTGTCACTATCACTGGATTTGTAAGAAGCTTCTCGTGTTGGACGGCAGCTGCGCATTCAGAGAAGGCCAGGATGTTGCGTGATTTATCCCGGATTTCAAATCCAATGGGTAGTTTGCATACCAAGACCTTGGAGACGGTGTGAGATTTTCCCAATCATATATCTCACGTCGTTTTGTGTGAAGCGTTGGTTACGAGGAATTTTCGTCAAGGTAGAATTCGAATCTAAACCCACGGTGCACAGCAACGTGAAAAAACAGCCCCGGAATGGAGCTTCATCTCACCTAATATCTTGCACTGGTGCTCTTATATACCTCGTATTGTGAGCACCGGTTTATACCTGCGTTCTGGAGGTCGTTAGCAGTGGGTATCAGAAGTTGGGGAATCAGGCACGGGGTAACTTACATGACGTTGTCGTTGGGAAATCCGACAATGCGTGCTTGACTTGACGTCCAGGTGAAGCTGCAGGATGATGGGTAGTAGACGATGAATGATGCTTTTTATCAGGGTCAATTACATCCCTTGCGTTAGATACTAAAAATGATGAATTGATGTCAACTGGAAGGATTCCCCGTCTTCCAGTAACAAGCAACGCTTCGAAAGACGAAAAATATCGAGATCAAGATATCATTTGTATCGACAACATAGAGAGAACATCAGCCAGGATTAACATATGAGCCGATAGCTGTCAAGAATAAACGACATCATGGAAGAAAAGGAGTGAGGGTGCAGGTAGGAGGATCTAGGTATCTCAATTGGTTGGTTTGAGAGCGGTCCTGGAAGAAAGGAATCAAAGGATAAATAGGCAGTGTAAAAAAAGAAAGTCGCTTTGAGAAACGGTCCGCTCAAGCGTTATCAGGTACTTCGCTTTATATTGTGCGTTGGTAGGAATGCGGTGTATTCAATGTCAATATACGTGAGGCTTACAGATACGATCATCAATGCCGGGACCTCCTTCGTCGTTCATCTCGTCCTCTCAAGCGGTGGAAGTGACAGCCGCACTGGAGGGGGTTCCAGTAAAAGTTGGCTTCGAGAACGTGATGGAGGGAGGCGAGATGGAAATGCTGGAGGCCGAGAAAGTAGGGATCGAGGCCGACAATGGCGTACCGCTGGGGGCAGAGAAGGGAGGGACCGACGAAGGTGTACCGCTGGGGGCCGAGAAGGTAGAGATCGAGACCGACGACAGCGTTCCGCTAGCCTGAGGGGCCGGAACAGCGAAGACGAAGGTGGCGAGCGCGGTGAGGAAGATGGCGATGTTGCGAAGAGCGAGCATGGTGGTTGATAAAGCTTGGGGTTGCTTAGAGAGGAAGGCTTGAGTGATTTGGAGAGTAGAGCTGGAACTTGTTGTGTTGCTGATGAGCTGAAAACTGCTCGTCATCCATTCATCTTTATATTTTTCATCAGCATGTCTTTCTCCCGGGCCGATGGAGAATTGTTGGGCGAATTATTTGGATGTCTGGGATGTGGGATGAGCCTTGCAATCAGAGGTTGCCACTCGCCTCAAACCTCGTCGGACAACGTCGGAAGCGGTTCGGCGATCGAAAAAACAGCTCGCAAATTGACGGATGAAACTGTCAACTGCGCACTGCGCTTTCCAGGAAGTTGAACTAGGTGGAGGGAGTGAAATCAGAAGACCCACACATAGCTTGATGATGCAATTCAAAAGTGAGGTCGTAAAGAACTCGCCGGTGAAGTAGACTGTGAGGTTGGGCGAACATGAAGAATCACGTTCTTTCTGCAACCTTCTCGGACAAGAGTAGACTGAGCTCGTCTCACAATAAATGGGAACTCTCGATCAAGTAACCTGAAAGTACAAGGGGTTTTCGTCCCTCAAACCATACTCGCCGAGGCAAATCCACGGGAGACGCTAAGACGATATGATATCGTACCTCCGGGCGAAGACGGGACCGGGGTCATTTGTCTCGATCGACATGTAGAAAGCCCGACGCAAACAACGCAAAGGACGCCTTTGGTAACAACACTGACCCCCTAAAGCACATAAATTATATGGGTTCGGATAGCTGTCACTGTCACCAGATTTGTCAGAAGCTTCGCGTGTTAAAGGAGCTGCGCATTCAGAGAAGGCCCAGATACTGCGTGATTTATCCCATATTTCTGATGCAATGATGGTTTGCATACCGAGCCCTTGGAGACGGTGTGAGATACCCTCAATCATATATCGCACGTCATTGTTGTGCGAGGGGTTGGTTATGAGGACAACGTAGAATCCGAATCCAAACCCACGATGCACAGCAACGTGTAGCCATACGATATGGTACTTGAATGACCCGCACTGGGGCGTTGTCTCATTTAATACCTTGCACTGGTGTTCTATATACTTTGTATTGTGAGCAGTGAGGGCGAATCCACCGATTTAATTCCGTCATCGGCTGACTCATGCCAGCTATTTTAGGCTGTGGATCGTCTCCAGTGTAAAGTAAATTTAAGGTCATAGTATTTATGAATGCACGCTGCACAACTTGCTCTGTGGCGCAATTGGTTAGCGCGTCTGACTGTTACCTTTCTTGGAATACCGAGGTGTAATCAGGAGGCTGTGAGTTCGAGTCTCACCGGAGCAGAATCTTTTGTCATTCTTATTTTGGAACGTCCCATTTAAGTAAATCTATGATCAAAGGGGTTCCGTTTCCACCTTGTACCTTGAAATTTAACGATACCTCGGCCCCTTTATGGTCATCAGCAATTTCTAGGGGCGGCCTATCAAACCATTCGAGGATCTTGGCGTGTGAGTTTCGATGGTGTTTCGAATCCCACCCTCACCATCCAACTACTTTTGCTAACAGCCTCTTTACTAGCTGCGCTCCATTGCTGCGCAGATGCAGCCCTATGGGCGATATGCGTAGGGGCGCGATCGCCTACAACCGTGGGGTAAACGGACATTGGCTTATTTATGACTGACTAACCTTCTCTCTTTCGCAATATTGATGTGTAACTTATGCGTGGCTCGGGAACTCCGCAGCCAAGGGGCTGAGATATCAACTCTTGCCTGTGGCCCGTCTCATACTGCGCAGACTCAGGGAAGCCGTTCCGCCTGCGTGTTCCAGACCCACAGCTCTCCAAGTAATGAGGTTCATTGCAACCAGGGTTTCGAGGGCCACAACTGACTACATGGAATTCGAGATTTGCTGCTTTCTTGAGAGGATGGAGGTGGTATTTCCCCTCTGTCTACGTGCTTCTTTCGCTCCATCGCATAAGTGTTCGTCTGGCCTATTCACATGCGTCGAGTTGAAACAAAATGCCATTTGGATGAACGCTATGGGTCTGCATGCGTGCGACTATGGCTATCCCAGGCGGACGAACTAAGCCCTAATTTTTGGCCCTCGATCACCCCTCTTCCAAGGAAACAATCGTTTAACAGTGCCCCGGCTTATTGAGAAGCAGACTCAATTCAATATCTTCTTTGCATATATACTTCGACCCGTTCGCTTCATGGGTTTAGGATGCTGGATGGCGATATCAGACTATGACGCGTCTTGTGACACTCCTGGCATCGCCGCGCCACTTCTTTGGGAGCGCAGTGCGCAGTTGGCGGCTCATCCGCCCATGAACGAGCGTCGTTGCTAAACTATCTCCCCACCCGCCGTCTCCGAGGCTGTTCGGCGGACCGAGCGACCTCTGGTATTGGGGACTCGTCCACATCCCAGGAATCCGAGAATTGCCGATGATTTCTCGAGTGACCTGGGATGGAGGCGCTGGCAACGAGTATAAAGATGACAGGAAGGCGAGCATGTTCAGCTCATCAGAACACTCAACTCCGGTTCTCTCTCCATTACTGAGATCCCCAGCAACCCTAAACCTCACAAGCCATGGTCGCCTTCCGCAATATTGCCATTTCCCTCGCTGTCCTTGCTGCCTACGTATCCGCCGCTCCGGCCAACTCAAGCTTGAGCACGCATCCCACAGGGCCGCCATCCACGGCGTCGATCCCTACCTTTTCAGCACCTAGCCTTTCTATTCCCTCTGTTTCGCTTCCTTCCAACTCGCTCCCTTCCGGTTTGCTCCCCTCTGGCTCGCCCCCCTCTGGCCTGGCCCCCTCCGGCTCGCCTCCCTCTGGCCCGCCTCCCTCCGGCCTTCCCCCCTCTGTTTCTCTCCCGTCGGGCACGTTGTCTCATCCAACCTTTACTGGAACTCCCTCCGATGCGCCTGCTACATCCACCGCTTGAGCGGACTACGAATGGTGAAGGGGAAAGGGGCATGATCATCTCTGTAAGCAACATACCGCGAGTTCGGTAGCATTATGGCCGTGCTGAAATAGGATATCTTTGCACAGCAATGTGTCCGATGCGCCTAGGCGGACCGTTCTTGGCATCCTTTCGCCCGTTCTCACCTTTTCGTCTGGAATTGATTCCCAAAGCAAATACTTTGATCCCTCTCCTTCAACTACCTTTACCCCTCCCTCTGTTTCCTCCTTCATGCCATTTGTTCTGATAGCTATTGGCTTCAACGTTAATGTCGGCTGATATTCCTGTGCTGTCGATACAAATGATACCTTATTTTATTTTATTTTTCATCTCCCATATGACACGTCGCAAAACGGCCTCGTACGCGTCCTTATATACACCCCGACCATACCGATGTGAGCAAAAGATGAGGTATGACTTTGTATTAGCATCGAAGATAGGCTGCCACAGAAATTCGAGCGCATTTATATAAAACGACCAAGCGATCTGCCCCTGCCCACGGTTCGACATGTGAGGTATTATGACTACTTTTGTGTCCTGATCACTTCTTTCCCGAGGCGTATTTAGAACATATCCCTGTTAGAATGCTTCTTCTCTGAGAAGGCACGGTCCATGAACTGCTGGATCTCTCTCTTGTGCGCGGACTAGAGGGGAAAGATGGGATAGGATTAGCCAAATGAAGTGGGCCAACATAACAGAACGCTTGCATACCTTGCTTCCAGTGGCCACGGAGCTGTACGGAGGACGGCCAGCATAGGCAGGGAATTTGTCTTGATGATGCACGGTCTTGCTGCCGGCCGTCATGATGCGCGAACCGACGTAAGTCCATGGGCCACCGTTCAATGGCTCCTCTTGCACCCAGGTCAACTCAGAGTTGGGGTACTTGTCGAGATGCGGGGTGATCTAATGTTACACCAAAAACCGAGATCAGTACCAGGCAGTAACATTCGATATAAAAAACGCTATGAAGCTCACGAGTTCGTAAGGGAAGGGTGAAAGCTGCTCAATCCGGCTGATGGCGATGTCCTTGATGCCGCGCTGCTCACGTTCCTTTACCAAGGCATAGTAGACTTGACCTGAAAACCATGGGTTGTCCATCAGCAGAGCATGTTGGCGGGAAAGTTTAACTGCTAGAACGCACCAGTGCAGAGGATGTGTCGCCTGATCTTCTCGGGCTCCACCAAGTCTGTAGAGGTCTCAGGGAGATAACGCTGGAAAGTGGTCTCGCCAATCATCTCCGAAAGGTCTGAACGTGCCTCAGGGGCTCGGAGAAGCGATTTGGAGAAGAAGACAATAAGCTGGGTACACACAATACGTCAGTTCTCTGATCAGAATACGGTCGCAGATTCAGTACTCACCGGCTTGCGGAACTCCCGCATAACTTGACGACGCAGAACGTGGAAGTAATTCGCAGGGGTCCTGTGGGTAATCAAACCAATGGTCAATATTATGATCATGCACCAAATCGAAATATTTACTTACGTAGGGTAAACGATCTGCATATTGCAGTCCTGATGTTGCCTCTCCAACTTAGCATCCGATGGGTAGATGTGTGGGTGATCGTCGCACAACTGCAAGAACCTCTCGATCCTTCCGCTCGAATGCTCTGGTCCCTGTCCATCATAACCGTGGGGCATGCTCATAACCAAGCCAGTCCTCTGCAGCCACTTCCTCTCTCCAGAAGAAATGAACTGATCGATGATGCACTGTGCGTTGTTGGCGAAGTCACCGAACTGTGCCTCCCACATCGTTAGAGATGCAGGGGAGACGAGCGAGTAACCGAGCTCGAACCCGAGCGTTCCGAACTCCGACAAATGGGAGTTGCACACAACGAACTTGGCCTGATCATGGCCGAGGTTTTGGAGGGGAGTGTACTGCTTGTACGTCTCCTGGTCGTGAACGACGGCATGGCGTTGGGAGAAGGTACCACGCTCCACATCCTGACCAGAAACGCGAACGTGAACCTTGTCAAGTACGAGTGTTCCAAACGCGAGCGCCTCAGCAGTAGACCAGTCAATACCGGTTCCGTCCTCGACTGACTTGCCGCGCGTCGCAAGAATACGAGCAAGTACGCGATGAGGGGTGAAATCACTCGGATAGGTTGAAATAGCCTTGCCAATGTCCTTCAGAACCTCCTCCTTTGCGCCTGTAGGATGATGGGGAAGATTTTGTTCCGCTAACTCCTTGGGAGTAGGGAATCCATCCCAAGAGCTCGAAAGCCACTCCTTTGGTGAGGGGTGGTAATCCTTGGAGGCCTCGGCAGCCTTCTCTAGCATGCCTACCACCCAAGTCTTGTGCTCATCAACCTCCTGCTGCGTGAAAGCGCCCTCCGCAACCAATGCCTCTGTGTATTTCGTCAGAGGCGTGGGTTGCTGATTAACTTGCTTGTACATGCGAGGTTGGGTGAAACTAGGCTGATCGGTTTCGTTGTGACCATAACGGCGGTAACACACGATATCGACGACAACATCCTTCTTCCACTTGGCGCGATAGTCAGCGGCAAGTTGACACACGTACGTCACCGCCTCTGGGTCGTCACCGTTGACATGGAAGATAGGAGCGTCGATAGACTTGGCGATATCGGAAGGGTAGGAAGTAGAACGTGAAAGACGTGGGTCAGTTGTGAAGCCGATCTGGTTGTTGACGATTAGATGGATGGTTCCACCCGTGCCGTAGTTTGGAAGGTTGTGCATGCCCATAGTCTCATACACGACTCCTTGGCCAGCGAAGGCGGCGTCACCGTGCAAAAGGACACCCATGGACTGGTTGTGAGACTTCTCGTCACCATCGAAGTGTTGAATACCGCGGACTTTGCCGACCACGACTGGGTCCTCGGCTTCCAGATGCGAAGGGTTCGCGACCAAGGACAAGGCGACTTTCTTGCCGGACGGCGTGGGCCGAATGTAGTTGGCGCCCAGATCTTGAAGATTTAAACGCTATTAATAAGACTGAAATAGTATGCACTAAAAAACAAATACGTACGGTACTTAACATCTCCTCCACCACTTTCATCCACATCCTTGCCCGAGAACTCGTTCAGAATGGCCTCAATAGGCTTTCGAATGACGTTGGCCAACACGTTGAGACGGCCACGATGAGGCATACCGATGACAATCGACTCGATCCCCTGATCAACGGAGCGGTCGATGAGCGCCTTCATTCCCGGAATGAGAGCCTCGCATCCCTCGAGACCGAACCGCTTCTCGTTGGGGTACTTCCCAGCGATGAACTTCTCGAACAGCTCAGACCACATGAGACGATCAAGAACGACGCGCTTCTCGTCGACAGTGTAGTTAATGGGGTTTGGAATCTCGACGCGGTTACGGATCCAGTCGCATTGGTCCTTGTTGGGGATGTGGATATATTCAATACCCATGGTA